AAGTATTTTTCATTACTTCATTTTTATCTTCCTTTTTCTTGGTTTATTAAATCAAACTCCTTGTTATTTTATTCATTGTTTTATCAATTATGGTATAAACTTTTAACTTATTGCAACCTTTCAAATGATGCTATATGACTTCATTTATAGTACAAGAACCTTATACTATTATATAGTATACTTCCTTTACTTTCCTCCCATCCCCTGGTTTATAGTCATTTGTTTTCCTTCTACAGATGTTATAACCTCCCCCATTCTTCCTCCCTCCCTCCCTTCCTTCTTCTCTTCCTTCCTTCCTTTCTCTCCTTCTTTCTTTCTTAAAGGTCTCAACTTAACATTTATCGCACACTCATTATAGGCAACTGCTAAAAGCCTTTGAAATGCAAAACTTAGTCACACACAACTTTACCTGCAAGGACTGCAAAGATATTGCAAACATTTAAAATTAACTTAGTGGAAACTTATAGAGAGAACATGTGGGTGAGAAAAAGATGACACTGGAGGCAGAACTCAGAGATTCTTTCCTGTCGCTTACCCAGTGCTCTGCCCAGCAAGCTCTAGTTGCTTTGGCCTCCCTAGACACCCAGCTCTGCTTCCCCAACTCAGACTACTGGGCTCAACTGGGTCCCTTCTCCTGTACTGCAGGCTTGAAACTCTCCCCAGATATTATCCTGAGATAGTTGTAGTGCTTACACTATTTGTTTCCCTTTTTTCATGGGTCATTATCCTTGCTGTCTAATGTTCATTGTCTTGAAAACCATTATTGCATATATTTTGTCCATTGTTTTTCATTGTTTCAGTTCCTATTACTCCCTCTTGGTTAGAAGTAGAAGTCTAGAGAGATTCTTTTTGTAGCAAAGTCCATGCTTCAAAATTTGTTAGTGAATCTCTGGCAAACATATTTCAGTCCCCTTGAGTAGATACTGAAGATCGCTAACACCCAGCCTTTTTGGCACCAGAGACCAGTGCCATGGAAGACAATTTTTCCATGGACTGGGGAGGGTGGGGTGTGGTGGGTGAGGAGCGGGTGAGGGGTGAGTGGTATGGAGCTCAGTTTTCCATGCAGAGGCTTATTACAATACAGTCTATGATAAGAAGTTAAAAAAAAACCAATTGGAAGACTTTTTTTTTTTCTGTTGAAATCCTGGTTGGTAATTAAAAGGCTTAACCAAATTCCAGGATCCCAGACGAGAATGAATTAGTGTCCCAAAGCAGCTGCAAGTGGCTTATAGAGTGTCAATGAGAACAACCAGGCACAAACATTGCATTTGTTGAACTCAGTGTGCATGGTGAGAATGCCGATAAGGTGGGTTAGAGCTTTGGTGTGTTCCAGAAGTGCTGATAAGAATAACTTATTGGACAGTGTCATTCTGTTATAATAAGCCTGTGTTCCAAGAGTCTTTCCCTAATGAACAAATGGAGGCCGTGTATAGAAAATTACTGCCTGTCTCTAAATATTTTAAGAGGTCATTACAGATTTATAAAATCATATTTATTTGAGTTTAAGGTAAGTAGGAAAATAAAATATACAACCCACGACACTTTAAGAGAAGAAGATGTGGGCTGTGAAATCAAACAATAAGCTATTCTGCATCCCCAGGAGAGAAATCACTGGTCTAGGAATTGGTGCATAAGTCAGTCATCTCTCCAGTGCTTAGCAACGGGACACATGCTGTGATTTGTTTAGTGGCACAAAGGCCAGAGCTGTGGACAGAGTTACATGCAAGCATGTGCATGACACGGGGGAAAATCCGCCTGCCAGTGCACCCATTTGTAAGTTAATCCCGTCTCATGCCTTCCCTTTAAGTCCCAAGTCTTCCAGGATTCTGGATAGCGGAGAGGCTAGCTTTCCCATAGGTTATTCCTTATCTCTGGGGCAACCAGGCTCTAAGCAAGAGAGAATATTTGCCACACACTGCATAGTGCCTGGAACCTGGGCCGATCTTGGATAAGCGTGGCCAGCACTTGCAAGGCAACGCCCACTGGCTTTTCTACTCCTTCACTACGACCTGCGTGCAGAGACATCCACGAGGCCTCCGCCTGCCTCTCCAGAAAGTTCCCAGGCCCTGAGTTGAAGGACCTAACACCACGCTTGGCTGGAGGCCTGCAGGAAGGAAGAGAAGACCACCTGGGGACTTACAGTCATGCTACCGCCTAAGGGCTGGTGCGTTGGGGGAAGACAGCCAACTCAAGCACAAGGAGCATCCAAACCACAAGAATCTCATGAGGTTTTACATGCAGAATTCATCTGTTGGATGGCACCCCAGTGGAAAGAAGGAACGAATTTAGTTTGTAAGTCAGTTGCTTAGTCACAACCCCAAATATCACCGAATATAAGGATGACTCTTTTTTTTTTTTTTTTTTTTTTTTTTGGCGTCAGCCTAGCTCACAGCAACCTCAAACTCCTGGGCTCGAGCGATCCTTCTGCCTCAGCCTCCCGAGTAGCTGGGACTACAGGCATGTGCCACCATGCCTGTAGTCTAATTTTTTATATATATATCAGTTGGCCAATTAATTTCTTTCTATTTATAGTAGAGACGGGGTCTCGCTCTTGCTCAGGCTGGTTTTGAACTCCTGACTTTGAGCAATCCACCCGCCTCGGCCTCCCAAGAGCTAGGATTACAGGCGTGAGCCACCGCGCCCGGCCAGGATGACTCTTTATAAATAATCCTGTTATGTGGAAAAAGTATATTATTTGTAAAAACAAAAATGAAACGATTACAATAGAAACGATTACAATAGAAATGATTACAATAGAAACTCATGTGGCTGTTGATGGCACAACCAACATCCCCATTGAGGCTTCAGTTCTTGGCCACGTGAGCCTCTCCAGAGCTTCACGCACGGCACGGCTTCCCCCAAATGAGTGACCCAAGAGAAAGTGACAGCACAAGAGAGCATCCAACATGGAAGCTGCAGGCTTCATAACCTAACTTTGGAAGTGGCAGACCATCAACTCTGCCATACGCTTTTGACCACAGAGAGCAATGTGCAAGTGGCTACGTAGGGACGTGAATACCACCAGCAGGTGGGACCCGCTGGGGCAATATGGCAGCTGGTTACTACACTATCCTAATTGTTCTGCATGTGTGTTTCGTCTACAGACAGGGAGTTCATCTGTCTAGAACACTGTGAGAACAAAAGAAAGGTTTGAGATGGGATGAAATAGTTGGTATTCATGATACAGAGTGGCCTTACCTGGAAGCCCTGCTACCTCACACACTGCGTCACTAGTCACAGAGGAGATGAGGTGGGATGAATGCAAATTCATTTTACCCCAGTAGGGGACCAAGAACAATATCTTCTAATGGTAGATTTATTGTGCCATGTTTGCATAGAAAGCAAAGTCATAATTAAGCAAGTGGTTTATAATGTGTTCCAGAGGCAAGATGACATAAGTAAAGGAGGACACACTGGGTTATTAATTAGCAGCAATCACCACTTGTGTCATGTGTGTTATTAACTAGCTGTGTAACATCAGGCAAGCCACTTAACCTCTTTGGACTTATCAACTAAAAAGTGAAGGTGTCACATTAGGTTATTGCTAATAATACTGCTCCTTCTAAAAATGCTTATTTGTTGAGATTCTGATTAAAAGAGAAAATTCCCAGTAAGATTCAGAGGATAATTATCTGCATAATTATCTTACTACAGGAAGAGAAGTGTCTCACAAATGGGCCCACAGTGTGAGTCAGGGCTAAGATAAGACATTTGAAACAGAACAAGGTAAGGACAGCATTTGCTCGTGACAAACTGCTCTGTGCTGGGCCCCTGGGGTGGAGAGCAGTGGATAAGCACTGTGGAAACTCCTTGTGTAGGGGACAAGAGGGGACCTTAACGTGTGGTTTTTATAGATCACTTCTATAGCTCATGACTGAGTCATCCCACATGCCTATGTGTATACACTTTTAAGAACTTTACTGGGTACCATTTACATGCCATAAAATTTGCCTATTATATATTAAAGTGTAAAAGTCTATGATTTTTAGTAAACTTAGAGTTATGTGTTCATCACGACGATCTAATTCCCATCATCCCCAAATCCTTCATGTTCATTTGTAGCTGCTTGCTCTTCTAACTCCCAGTCTCAGCAACCTCTACTATGCCTTCTATCTCTGTAAGTTTGCCTTTTCTGGAAATTTCATGTAAATAGAGCCATTCCATTTTGCATCTGGTTTCTCTCATATAGCAAAAGGTTTTAGAGGTGTAGTGATAGTTGGCACGTGCTGATAGTTTAACACGTATCAGCAGTTGGTTCTTTCTATTTCCAAATAATATTTCATTGTATGAATATGCCATATTCGGTTTACCTCATCATCAGTTAATGGACGTTTGGGTTGTCCACTTTGGGGCTATTCTGAATAATGGTGCTATGGACATTTGTGTACAAATCTTTGTGGACCTATGTTTTCATTTCTCTCGGGCATATACGTAGTAGTGGAGTTGCAATTTAAACTCCCATGCTTAACTTTTCAAAAAAACTACTCTCCAAACTGTTTTCCAGAGTGGCTGCAGCATTTTACATTCCCAGTAGCAACGTCTGCAGGTTCATATGTCTCCATATGCTCGACAACACTTGTAATTGTCTATCTTTTGTGTCACATCCACAGGCATCGATGGGCAGTGGCCAGGTACAAACTGGGGAGTTGCCTCTGGTTAGGGGGATCCCAGCTCCAGAAGACACTATACCTAACTGACAAAATTTGGAGGGGGGCACTGAAACACTTGTTTTCTGGGCTAAATTCTTCCTCACTGTGTAAGAAGCCATCCCCACTTAGTTGCAAAAAGGGACTGCATACTATTCATCTTAACTACCAAGGCAACCCAAAGTAAAGTTCTAAAAAAATGCACCCTCCGAATAGTTCATTTTATTGTGCAAATGCCACCTGTGTTGTAGCTACTAAGACCTTGGGAATAGGGGTGATGTATTGGAGAATATGGTCAAAGGTATTTTATATTAATCTAACATTTCACTTGTGAACAAGCATACCGCCGGCAAGAAAAGTCCTGTGTATTTTATTCAAGCAAAAGTTCTCTATCATATTCCTCTAGAGTTAGTTTAAAGGACATTTAAGACTTCCTATAGCTTTATACAAATATAAATATGAAAAAATACAATGTAATGTGCACTGTAATTCTCAGAAGCTACATCATCTACTAAGTATGGTGGTTGTGCAGTCGAAATGTGCTGAATGAATCTGTGATAATGAACTAATGAGATAAATTAATGAGAAATTAATAAATAAATTTATGAGAATAAATTTGCTTTTTTTAGGGGACTAAAAATGATACGAAATAATGACTTGGTGTTGTAATAAAATGTTGTCAATTTTATTAAAAGCTGATTCATTATTTCTTCACATAGTTAAGTACGTTTCTTTCTTGTTCTTTGTTAAAGCCCATTTCATTGTATTATTTCATAAGAGTGAGTTGGCCCAGCGAGACCATTACTGATGAAACATGTACAAATTTAGCACCACACATCTGCAAATGCAGATAGCCACAATGACCACCCATTATGTACAAGCTCCCTTTATACATCCACACATATTTACAGCTAATAAATAAACTGTAAAGCCAAAGCATCATTGATATATATATATATATATTGCAAAGTCTTTAGAAGCCGGAGTTCCCAGTGCCATGTGCTGATTTGGTGACTCTTTTAAGTGAATGCAACCTAGGTCAAAACCCAAATGCAGAAAAGTGATGAGCTAGCAATAAAGGGGGCTGCCAACGACATATCTTACATCATTTTATTTTTAGGGAGAATCCATTCCAAGGCTGATGGAGTCAGTCAAAGCACTGGTCCTATGTTATACACACACGACCGTATTTCTCAGATAAAGGGCTGAAGTTCTGGCACACATGGAACCATTTCTACTCCAACATGTTCTGATACATCCCTGGATCGATGCTTTTACTTTCCAAATCATGCTGAATTATAACTGCACACCTTCTGCAAGATTATGTGTTCAGATAGATACCCACACACGTTCACAGTTTGGGTTCCCAGCAATAGCTTCTGAGATAGTTAACTTCTTTATCATTTTATACTTTTATACACAGAAAAGCACTCTGAACATAGGAGATCTAGTTAATAAATAATTGTTCACTCATTCTTGATTAGTTGTTAAAATAAACACATAGCAACCCTCACGGCACTGATGTGGCTACTTGTACACGATGGTCGAAAAGCACTGCTTATGAATATACCCCCAAAACTTCTCCATTTTACTTAGTAAAAACGGGCTTTGTCTGAAATTTGTAGGAGCTCGCGTGACACAGAATTTGAACTTGAACACATTTTTCCCTGTCAAAGCAAAAGACACACACTCAAAGTATGACTGTAGCATGAGTAAGATAAGCCTGACATGGATTAGTAACTATTGGATATGGAAGGATATCAAATTGATGAAAAACTGATAATAAAATTATCATTTTCTTTCTGCACCATTCAAATGATGTGTCCACTGAGGATTACAGGCTCATTTTCAACACCCATCCAAAGAACGTTGTTAAAATATAATCTTGAGACAAAAAAAAAAAAAATAGGAGGGGAGAGAGAGATTAATTAAACTGTAAAGCCTATTAAGAAATAATTGATCAAAAAAAGAATTAATTGATCTTAATCGTATATCTCCTTTAATTTTATCTTGATGCAAGCCAACAACGGAGACTGTTTGAAGGCTCAGTGCTTCATGAGCCCATTCTCTGTCCCTCTCAGTCACATGTTCATGGTTAACTCCTGGGCCACATTTCCAAAGGCTAGAGGAGAATCATTCCAAAAACTCAGGCGTTTCTACTGCTAAGAAAGGTGGGTCTGACTCAGGCCACAGAAAACAATTTTCTATATCGAGACTTGGAGAAAACTTTGAGAAGGCCTCAGTCCAGAAAATCCAGAATTCCAATTAAAACAGGAGGGTCTAAGCAATGTTAGGCCATGGCCAAACACAACCCATGAAGGAGTCTTACTTTCCTATGGGCCCGAACAATTATTTCTTTCTCAAAGGACAAAATGCAGTGCTTTTCATATCTGCGTCTTTTAACATCGGAGGATGTGCTGTTTGGCCACCATTCTCCTCAAATGGAATTAGCCACGTTTTAGTATTTTGAGTCTGTCTCCTAAAATAACTAACAAGGATACAGCTGGGATTAATACTCAGGAAAATCCACTTTTAAACACCCGAAGCACATGGCATCTTTTGAAAACGTTATTTCACTGACTTCATTCTTCACAGAATTCATGTGCTGTTCTTCTTTCTGTAGATTTGCCCGGTATCTGAGAAAAAGCAGAGGAAGAAGGGCAACTTATTATCAGCTTAGTGTTTCCATAATCCCCTCTCCTCCCCCATCATCTTGATGATGAAAAAATATTCAGCTGGAAACTCGGAAGGAAAGTTGTGAGGATAGAAGCAGGGACCATGGGGTTCGTGGACCACACAAAGTGGCAGGTTCCTAGGAGTGAAAGACACTCGAACAATCACCATTTTCAAAGGACCGAGCTGAATGATTTCAACAGAGGATTTCTTACTTCTAAAATTTATCCAATGAAAAGCCTGTTCCACTTCTTTTCTTGACTTAACAGAAGATGTAAGAAAGAGACTCTTTGATTTGATTAATTTTAGTGACAGAGGAAAAAAACGACAGGTGGTTATCAGTCCGATTCATGATTACCCTGGATAAAGTTCAGGTGCATTTTTTTTTAAAAAGCTGACTACGTATCTGTTGTTTCAGTAATACTAGAAGCAGATGAGGAATGTCTCATTAGACTAACTGAAATAAATTCTTATAACTCATATAAATATGACCAGAAGAGCTTTCTAAACAGCTGGAGTTACTTCCTCATTTGGGGAGGTCTTGTTTTTACATTCACATATAGATTTAAAGTTGTAGATGATCAGAGAAGAATATGTGTGTTATTTGTGTGTAATCTAAATGCATGTTTAAAACTTCATCTAGGAGTTTCTTTCTAAGAATTGAAGAAACTGTGAAATTCCCTCGGGAAATCTGAGGAAAAACAAAGCAATAACCACTTAGTAAAAAAGTCTCCAGTTAGAAAAGAACTGAGTTATTTTGCCTGGCTCGATACCAATGACTACTCTCCAATTCAAATTTATCTTGAGTGCTCTGACACAAATTGTTTGGATCCGTGTGGTCTCATCTTGTCATTCCAAGCATATATGCCATAATCCCATTTTACAAAAGATTTAAAAATATAAATGTTATATATGTATACATAAAGTCTGAAAGAATATAAATCAAAATGTTAATTGGGATTGTCCCTTGGTGATAGGGTCACAGTGATTTTATTTTCTTTTTGCCTATTTTCCCTAATTTATTTACAATAAACATATATACATTATATTATAAAGTAGAAATTAAAAATGTAGTGATATTCCACATAAGGTCTTAAACATACTTTTTCCAAACAGGCGATTCTCATTCTGTACTTTTATCTATAAATGCACCCAGCAAAAAGAGACAAACCAAAAGCAATTGCTTTTTCTATTTCCAGATGAAACTGCATCCAGCCTTTCCCATCGTTTCTTGTGTCACTGGCTGCTACGACAGGATCTAATATTTCTCCCCTTTGTACCTGCAAGCCATTAGCACTTGGCATCTGGCAGGGAACCAGTGGAGGAATGAAAACGACATATTCCAGGAATTCCCGAGGGGAGTGGGGAAGGTCACATGCTTGGTCTACACTTAGTACTGACGCTCTGGAAAGATTCAGCTGCCAGCTGCCACGTGGATTAGCCTTAAAGGTCATGTAGGAAAGAGCCAGGGAGTTGTTCTGAGATACAGAAAAGAGAATAATAGTCTTCTACATTCTCAGTCCATGAGCTCCCCATCTTTGGGGGTTTTCAGATGGGTGCTTGGGCCTGCCCCTTTGGCTCTCTGTCCTGGACTCTGCAGGCACTTGGAGAATCAAGGACTGGGTGGCTGCAGCTGACACAATGAGATGTTTTACTTCTTTGGCTACATCCCGGGAAGAGCTGCACCCACAGCCACAATGGCAACTGCTAAACTCATGTTACATGCGCTGCAGACGGCATTTGTAAAGGAAGCAGAGATGCAGTAGAGAAAAAAGCAGAAGTGAAGATTTGGGGGTGGTTTGAGAAATCAAATAAAAGCTAAAAGGTGCACCTTGGATGAAGGTCAGGACTAGAAGAAAAAATAAAAGGAGAAAGAAAAAAGGGGAAGTATTGCTAAAAAGCAATTGACCCATCTGATACATGCGCAGAAGGACTGAGAAAGATAAGAATGGGTGCAGGCCTTTAGTGACAGGGTGAAGAGGAAGTCATGAAGCTGCCTCCCTCGGGATGCAAACTCAGATGCGCAGAGACCTTTAGCCCAGAATGCTCACCAGCCAGACTTTTTATTCAGGGACTTGTCGTGGCACTTCACAAAGACTGCAGGTGCCTTTCCTTTCTGCAAATGAGACACTTTCTGCCTGGAACAGAAGATCACCCTGTGGAAGAAGATGGATATGAACACATCACATGGGACAAGAGAAACGAGTGTTCAAAAACATACAGTTTGGTCAGGGCTGTTTAAATCCACCATGATCATGCTGATTAATTGTTTGGATATTATTTTCCATAATTAACTGTAACACTCAGGCCACATCTAAGCAGAGGGTTATTTGAGAGCCTAACCCAGGGTTCAGCAAACAAGCTAGTTAATCGATCTAGACACACAGGCATACAAACAGCCTAGAGGAGTCTAACACTACAAGGCGTTCACCAAGAGAGATACAAGACCAACTCTCCACCTCTTGGCTTCTGTATTAGAAAATTAAAAGGGAATCAGCTTTCAACTGCCTTAGAGAAACCAAAATTCTGCATAGCCTTTTCTGTCCAACCCTGTCTTTTTGGTTATCAAAGCAAACAACTAAGGAGAAATAATTTGTCAACCCTAACTTGAAGACTTGTTTGCACCAATGATAATAGCACACGACAGTTTGCAAAAATCCCAGCACATTTAATAGAAAAGTTTTAAATCCACTGTGGCTCTCTATGCAACTCATTTCATAGATGCATGTGGGGTGGGGTGGGGAAGACAGGTTGGGATGATCTTGGAATCTCATCCTTCTTGAAGAGGCTGATTTGACTCTTTGAATGCCAAAGGTAACATCTCTGAGATTTGTTCCCTAACTCTTTGGTGCTTGCAAGAAATAGCGCTATGTGGGATGCTGAGATTCTTGACTTCTCATCCCGGCTCTCTCTCTCTCTGAATACCTGTGATCACTTCAGGGCTGATGTGTTCCTTACATGAAATGCACAAATACTATTATTCATACTCCCCCACTGTGATAATGCAAGCATACCCCTAAAGAAAATTCTAAGTGTAATTATCTAGGAAAAGCTTCCTAAAGTTTCACCTGCATATTGAGAGCTCCTGAAATACTGTTCCTCAAGGGAATGAAATTAGGGTGAGTTTGAAGTGAAAAGAGAAAAATAAATTTAATTACTTTTTTTGTGTCTCTCCTGCTTTTACTCTGATCTTCTCAATAGCAAAGCCAGGGCTACTCCACCAGTTTGACCAGCTGAAGTATGAATCGCTGTTCCATTTCAGCTTCAGCATGAGCAGTTCTCCAATATCAACCTCTGTGTAAATTAGGAAGGAGTATGTCTTATTCGTGGAAACTTCTGGCCTGAATTTTAAAAAAAATCAACAAATTTGGTTAGCTCTGGAAATCAGCTTCCCCCCCCCCTTTTTCTCCTCCTAAGATGTAAATAAGCTTTATTGTTTGGGGGATACTTTAAAAAATGCAAAACAATGTCCAATAAAATACTCTAAATGAAAGTCAAAGGCATTTGGTGTATTTAAAAAGATATTCACATCCCTTTAATCTATTTCAGTATTTATCCTAACAACATGAACTATTAACACTTTAATGTAATCCTTAAGAAAAAAGCCATAAGCCAGTCATTCAGAAACATTATTTTCACTTTTATATATTTCTTTTCAATTTGTATTGATATATGAAATGCTTTTACTTAGTCACAATCATAGTACACATATAATTCTCTATTCTTTCTTTGTTCTCTTCATATTTCGTCTTCTACTTTTAGCCATCTTTGGCCTAGTTTCCCATAATTATATTATTTAAAGGCTAGATTGATATTTTTGACTTAATAAACCACAATTCATTGAACCATTGACTCAATGATGGATACTGAGTTTCTCATTTATGCTGTTATATGTACGACTATAATATATGTGCCATACTTTCAATTTTTAAAAAAATGTTGTTGACTATTTCTTTAGCATAGATATTAGGAAAAAATTACTTCATTCCACGTAATAACATTTTATAGCTATGGAAGGTTATTGCCACCCTGCCTTCCTTATCTGGAAGGTTCTATCAACGAATAATACGCCCAGTAGTATGTGATTGTACTTTACCTCATTAGCACTGGGTATTTCAAAAAGACTTGTTCATTTAGTAATTACCAAAGGATATCGTAAAGTTGCCATAATTTTTTATTTCTTTGATCAATAGTAAGGGGCAAACCTTGTCATGGGCTTTTTATTACTTATACTTCTATACACATTCTATATACATCTATCTACAGAGTGGTTTCCTGTTACTAGTGTGTCCATTTTCTTTCATGTCAAAACTTTCAAGGGAATTTTACTGTTGTCTTGTTCAAAAACAATCGTAAAAAAGAAATAAGCAGACATAAAATGACAAAAGAAAAAAATGAATAGCAAATAAAAATAAAATGGCCAATTTGAAGAATTTTTTTTCTCATTCTAAAGCCAAGACCTCAATTTTGAAATTCCAGTTTCTTGAACTAGAGACTCTCGTTTTCTAGGTGTCCCCCTCTCTTTCTGTTTCTCAGAGGAGTGCCCAGGGCAAGTGGCAGGGCCACAGTGACCCCACACGCCGCGGCCACTCACAGGGTGAAAGCGATGTTCTCACTCTCTGCCACCGTGCCATACAGAGAAATCTCGAAGGCCTGGTCGGTGTGCGTTTCACTTTCGGTCCCAGAGAAGTGAATCTTTACTTGGTAATGGAATACTGTAGGGGAGGAAATTGGAACACACAGCGATCAATCATCATGGAAACACCACCACGACCCCCAAACAATCAGGCCACTCAGAACCACAGAACGTATCTCACGAGCGCCCAAAATCGTCAGTGTGGCTTAGAACGGTTTCTTTATACCATGCAATGTTCACCCCTAGAAAATGCAGACTTTGAATTTTTTTTTTGAGACAGAGTCTCACTTCTGTTGCCCTGGCTGGAGTGCCATGGCGTCAGCCTAGCTCACAGCAACCTCAAACTCCAGGGTTCAAGCGATCCTGCTGCCTCAGCCTCCCGAGTGGGTGGGACTGCAAGCGTGTGCCACCATGCCCGGCTAACTTTTTCTATATATATTAGTTGGCCAATTAATTTCTTTCTACTTATAGTAGAGACGGGGTCTTGCTCTTGCTCAGGCTGGTTTCGAACTCCAGACCTTGAGCAATCCGCCCACCTTGGCCTCCCAGAGTGCTAGGATTACAGGCATGAACCACCACCGCGCCCAGCCCAGACCTTGAATTTTACTATCTTTCAGGAAAGCGTGGCTTTAATGAACAGGAAAAAACCCAAGTGTGTCTGAATTGCCAAACAGTCAATGGGGTAGGAAGGAGCCCAAACCAAAAGGCTGAAACTCTTTTCCCATGAACTCTACCCTTCTTGGCTGTCTAGCCTCTTAGCATCTGTACCAAACGTATTTGGCATTTGTTACTGCGTCACTGGAAATGACCATGTTTCTTCTTGTTTCATGGGCAGGTCTGTCCTCCCGCCCTGACTGTAACCTCCTTCAGATCAGAGGATTGTATCCGTGCTCTGAATTCTCCCATCATCGAGCACAGAGGAGGTATGCAGTAGGCTCACAATAAAACTCACTGCACCGAGCCATCCATCAGCAAGGCCCCAAGGACTGCCTCTCAAAGCCATTGCCTAGCACGTCCTGTACTAGGAAGAGGCTTTGGAAGCAGGTACTTGAACTTCCACATCTGCTTCCTGCTCTTTCCTCCATCTCTCCCCAAATCCCTGAGCAAATGGGACTGGGGGGAGGTGAGAGGAAGGGGAAGGCAGCAGGCCTGAAACACAGTCACAATGACAACGGGGAAAAAAGTTATTGCGATGCTTTGTCTCCTATGTACCTAGACTGGTGGTCAGATTTTTTTCTTATTTGTGTTTCTGTCCATTCAGTGTACTGTCTCTTAAGCTAGGACATAGATTTCTTAACACTACTTGTTTAGAATTTGGCCAACTATATTTCTGTGCTATTTTAGGCACTGGTTCTAACAAAAGAAAAAATTTTAATACGTTTTGTTGTCGAGAGCTTTCTGATGACAACATCTATTTTGCTTAGATACCTCTCTTTCTCTCTCTCGTTTTTTTTTTTTTTTTTTTTTTTTTTTTTTTTTTTTCAATCCATGGAGGTTTATTAAGCTAAAGTTTGATGGCACTCCTGGGAAAAGCACAAATCACAGAAGCATCTGTGACCTGTTCTCTTGAGAGAGAGAGTTGAGAACTCATTATGGGAAGGGAGAGGGCACACGGAAAGAAAAGGGAAGAATGGGATGTGCAGTGAGGCGAATGGTTATATGCTTGTGAGACGTTAGCTAGCGCCCAGAAAATCAACATTTTACATAACATGAATATTTGAAGAGAAAAAGGGACTTAAGGAAGAATCAATTATGTAGATGTCCCTGGGTAGGTAGAAGAATGAGTGATCTTGTCTCATCTCTGTTCTGCACCTGAGAGGAATCTGATACCTCTCTTTTTATAATAAAAAGAAGCAGCTAGATTCTAAGCAAAAAAAAAAAAAACAAAAAAAAACACCAAAAAACAAAAACAAAAAAAACCCCACCACCAAAATGGCACAGCCACTAAGAGGTGACAGAAATCGGGTTTGGGGTAAAGCGAAGCCCTTGCAGACCACAATGATGCAATGACAGGCGAGAGCAGGAGAGGCTGGGAGATGCAAGGTGCACCCAGCAGACACTGATGGAGCCCTGAGCACAGACGTGTTGGATGCAGGGTGAGACATGTCTGTGTCTTTCAGATTATGGTCCCTTGGTCCCCTCCTTACCCCCCCACCCCCGACACTCCCTGGTTCTGAAGAGCCAGGGAAATTGAGGGCTCCTTCTTTGCCTAAAAAGTTTCCTTGCACTACAAATGCTCCAGTCTCTATGTCACCAAATGCACCTCTGCAGATTCTAACAAATTGCCTTACACACTGGCACCTGGAGCAGACAGATTTTACCGTGGGAAACTGTTCTTTAATATCATCCCTTCCCTGGGGCTTCTACCTGGATTCCATATTAGCCAGACTTTCTAAAGTTAGTCCCCTCTTGCCAGAGACATCTGATCACCGGCTGTCCCATTTCCCCGCCATTCCTTTAGATCTGGCTCTAAGCCAGATGCTTGAAATTCAAGTGGGAAACAAATTCTTGGCAAAATGGAAACATCCTAGAAGATCTGGTACATTTTTGCCTCCCAGGGATAGTTCTATTTAGAAATGCAGATAGCTCTTCCCTGTGTGTAAAGCTAGCTGTAGAAGTGGCAAACTTGCTGTACAGGGCCAGGGTGTAAACACTTTATGCTCAGTGGGCTGTAGAGTCTGTCTCAACTATTTGACTCTGTTGTGGTGGCAGGAAAGCAGCCTTTGCCACTATGGACATGAAATGTGTGTGGTCCTGTTCTAATAAAACTTTATTAACAAAAGCAAGTAGCAGGCTAGATTTGGCGCAGTCAAAATTCTGGGGTTTGCTGACCCCAGGTAGATCATTTCAAACTGGCTCTGAGCTCAGTGCTGCTAGACTGGCTCATGGTAATGGTCACAGTGACAGAGGAGGGTGGCAAGCAGGGCTGCAAATCCTGGGCTGAACACTGCAGCCTTCCTGGCAATGGGAACTACAGGCATCAGTACAATGGATCAATGCAACTCCCTCTCCAGCAACAGAAACACAACGAGGGCTCAGGGTTCAGTAATATCACATCATTATCTCTGTTCCAATGGACAGAGCCAGTACACGAGATGCATCAAGCACGATGCAAACAGGACTGATAGATTTCCTCATTTCCAGTAGTCGCCAGCCTACCTTTGTAAGGCATCTGGGAGCGAGTCTTCAGGTACATTTTGCTGCTTCTTTTGGCTCTGACCTTGTTGATCTCATAGCCCACATTATTGCAACGGTTCTTTCTGCAACTCAGGCACAGCCCTTTCTCGAAGGCTTCCTTTGAACTGCACCGGTAGGCCTTGCTCGGATTTTCTTCATTCAACAGGGAGTCGATGAAGAGATGAATGGAGCGCTCGTGGGAGCACTTCACTAGTTGGTCCACGTCTGGGGAAAAAGAGGCACCAAGGAAATTTCAACTCTGTGCAAATCTACAATAGGTGTTTTCAGTTTGCATGTCTGAAATAGGTTAGGCATGGTGTTAGAATAGAATGACCCTAAGCTATAGGCCACATCTATGACTGTGAGCCCTCTTTTAGGAGGTATTCTTGGTGGCACCTGCTCACCCATGTCCAAGATCGTGCAAGTTGCAAGTTCCTGGGGAACTTTTGACTTTTCTGCTGTCTTATATTTACGAGTATGTTCATAAAACCATAACAAGAGACATCTAAGGTAGAGGTTAACTTTCCTCTTTCATCGCATTCTCCTCCTGTTTTTATTGTCCTAACCCTAACCCTAAAGCATTCTTCTCTTACATTAAAGGTGTCTAATATTTTAGGTACTTTGAGAAACATGCAATAATTCTAAAAACCACATCATAAAAGACTTAACAGTTAAATGAATCATATTTTGTCATAGATATGTATAACTGAGGACTGTGCCCCTACTAATGCTTTTTACATCAAATGAACCATAGATATAATCAGCAATGTCCTAACAACAGGTTTATTACCACAAGGTTTTTATAGCAATTGAAAATAGTAACACATGCTGTAAGTTCTATAACGTGCACACAAAAGTAATTAGCATATTGACTGGAGGTACGTCCCAATGTCCATAGAGTGTGCAAAGGCCCCTTAAAAATAAATCATAAATTTAACACAAGTTAACGTGATTATTAAAGTAAATATTAAGCTAATATTACATTATTCTCTCTTCTTAGAATTTTGGAAGACTCACTTCTGATTTGTCCACCTCTTAAAAAGGCCAACAAAAGAAATTTGGACTAATTAAACATCTCTTTCATTTTTCAATAAAATCCAAAATCACTCCATTGTCTTTGCGACTACAGTCAAAGTGTGACAAGATGTAGCCAGATAGCATTTTGCAATGCCATTATCAGGGTCAGTGGCATTTTCCTGTCTAAATCTCATCGTTACTTTCTCTTGCTACTGCAAGCGCAGTAGCCAACGTAGTCTACAACATGATAAATAAAAGGTAAAGTGTCTGTCTGGCTCTAAGGTGATCATGCCGAACGCATCAGAATTCTTCATAAACATATTTTTGGTCAAATGTATATGCAAAACCCACATACTTTGGTGGTACTGGGCAGGGCACGGGGTCGATAAGGGTTCGGAACAGAACCCCCATTGAATTCACTTCTAAATCGCATTTACCTCCGAGTCCTTTCTGCGCGATCACACGGATGGCTTCCCCGATGTTGCAGCCCGGTTGAAAAGTGCCTCCATTTGGATAAATGTCGACATGCCCCACTGGTTTCTGGATCCCAATACTGCGGCCAGGGGACCCTCTGGTGAACGTGTGTAAGACGTCCACGAAATGCGCGTCATCGGGAGAAAGGCGACTGGGGGCTTCCGCATACTCGAAGTTAGGTCCTGCTGGATCTAGGCCTTGATGGGGAGGGGGGAGGGGAAAGACAGATCTTTAAATCTGCATTAGTATGATATTAGCACGGCATTACTTATCATTGGAACGTAACTGGCTGCCACTTAGATTCTCATTAGCTCCGACTCTATAGCCATTGGATCTTTCAATTACGAAGAGAGCTATAAAAGTAAGCTTGGCTCCTTCTAAAATGATTTTGACTCTCCTTAACTAGGCATTATCCAGGGATTATCACTAAGGATGGCTTGATTTCCTTTTGTAAATGATCTCGGGATCTAGTAAGAAGACCTTTAAACCGTGATGGATTCTTTCTCCCCCTCTCTGTATGTCAAACCTTTGCTTAGAGGACTGTCTTCTTTCCAAACGGCCTCTGGAGTTGATGCTTTTGATTTTTCTAGTAGTGATTCGAGAAGTGACTATGCATGTGCAATACACTACCAAAGCACAGAGCACAGGGAGAGGAAAACAGGCTTCTCAGAGAGATCTGTGGGCATCCTGTGCTTAATCCTGCCTTACACCTGTGCTGTTGCCAGCAGAGGGTGAGCCCGTGAGAGCCAGCCTATGTATTTTATCGTATGCCCGCAAGAGCCCTACAACAAGGTAAGCAAGTGCCAGGCTTATACCCGGGAAGAACACCACACACGTGTGTATTTAACAAATGTTGTTCTGATCTTCTTTCAGAATCAGAACCATCTCGACTCTTGGGATAAAACCAATGGAACTGTTCTCTTACCAGTAATTCTGTTGACCTTCTTGTTGGTCAGACTCCCTGCGATCCCAGCAGCATGGGCTCCAAGGCTGTATCCCAAGAGATGGACGTTGTCCAGAGGATAGTTAAATTCCTCCTTTGGAAAAGAAAAAGGGGGAAAAAAGGCTCTTATAGCTCTTTGCCAAAGATCAAAACTAAAGGGAAGAAAATGAATCAAAATATTGTTTTCAAAATGTAGGCAATACTGAAAATTAATTCTACTTATTTTAATTTGGTGTTACAGGTAAAAGAAAGAAACATATTGTCTAGTGTTGAGAGTTTCTTTTTCTTTAACAGCAGATTGAAATTAGAAAGTTTTTCCAAACATCTGATACAGTATTTTTATAATTATATGTATATGTGTATGTATGTACATATACATATAATATATATTTAACTTTACCCCATTATTCCCTATTCTAAATATACTACATCACTTTATTCTTTTTTTCTAAACTTTTTTTTTTACTATTTATTATTTTATTTTATTTTTTATTTTTTTTTTGGCATATTATGGGGGTACAAATGTTAAAGTTACATATATTGCCCTTGTCCCCCCTCCTCAAGTCAGAACTTCAAGCGTAAATATACTATATCACTTTATTCTTAAAGGCTAGCAGAGCAATGACTTATAATCAGAACCTATTAAAATGGGAAGGGATCAGAGACACAAGGTCCAGCCTCCTCATTTAGCAGGTGGGAAGCCCAAGGTCCAGGGAGGATTGGATTTGCCCAAGTTCACTTGCCTGGTTAGCAAATGATCCAAGAAAAATAACATTTGTCCTTTGATGATGAGTCTAATAAATACAGCTTATTTTTTTACCATCTAATTATCTGGTTTAAATAATTTGCCCCTGTCAGAGTATTAGCTTCCTTCCAACCCCAAGATACTTTTTCAAAGGTACTTTTCAGAGCATAGTTTGCCAAAGGGGGTCCCTTGCTGCTAAGTCAGATCCCTGGACCCCTCAGCCACCTCAAATCCTCAACACCTTTCCTGCCGTGATCCTCCCAACTCAATTCCATCACTCCCCCAAGCCCTTAACAAAAATTTGCACCCTTAATCATCCACACCAAAGAATAAATACTATTAGTATTTTCATCAAAGAGATTGGTACTCTAACAGAAGTCAAAGCCGGGTTAAAACATTCCCGTGCCAGCCATTGGGAGGGAAGGATCGGCAGAACATGCCATTTCTTTCCTCTGTCCTGAAAGAACAGGCTTTTGTCTGTTCAGCCCACAGAGTTCTTGGTCTCAGCAGATCTAATCACTGTGAAAATATCAAAGGACAGGGCAGGGCAGGACTATTTATTGGCTTTACAGATATTATCATTCTTATCAAAATGCTGCTTTGGGCTGTAAAATAACACCTATGCTCATTTGGAAGATTTGAGCTGTCCCAGAAAATACCTACATCTAAGTAAAAAGGAAGAAAGCCCAGTCATCTGTCTGGCTTCAGCCAAGAGCTCTGTTTTGGACACATAAGGGTCCTCCTCCCCCAACCTCACCTCCATCCAGTTGATAAATCTGGCCACATCCTTTCCCACCAGCTTGGTGTAGCCCGCAGACACCGGGTAATGGTGTTGAGCCCGGGACAGCCAGTCCACCACCACGACGTTGGAGTCTGGTTCCCGCTTGTACAGGGCGGCCACAAGCTTTGGCACCCAGCTCTCATACATGCCTGTCACCTGCAGAGGATGAAGACACAAGCGTTCTTGAAACACTCACGCACAACTTGTCATGGATATATCAGCCCAATACGCCTACGCGACATGGAGAAAACAAACTTGCAATTAGCTCAGGCAGAAAAATCAGAGCCCAAAAGAGTGTTCGGAGACTTACGACTGCCCCTTCCAAGGCAAATTTGAGTATGCCCAAGAAGAGATGGGGTAAGCTCGGGAATGACAGAGTAGGGTTTACCATGTTTTCAATTTTAAAAGTATATTTTATGAATTCAGTAAAACTTTACCAAGTTATAATATTAAAGCCTGAATGTCGAGTGGGTCTTTGGGGGAACCAGTGGGAAGATCTGCCTAGAGCAAAACCCCGAGGAATTGGTCCTGGACCAAACCCCTTCTCCTCCCTAGTGGGTGGGGTGCTGGCCACCCTTTGCCGTTGCCTTTCCAGATCAAGAGAGGATGACGTCATTTCTTCGGCATGCAACATTCGTCGCTCCTTGTTTCAGCCAGCAGCTCTGACATAATATATCTTTAACAATCTATTTTCTAGAAATCCTTTCTAATAAAGGATTACAACCCACTCACTAGGGATCGGAAAATTGCTAAAACAAACTGAAATATTTAAGCAAGAACTACGTCATGTAAAGTGACCAAGTGGCATATTTACAGAGAGTACTAATTTATTAATACTTTTGTTTGTTTTTGTTTTTTTTGAGACAAAAAAAATCATTCTCATTCTCTCACCCAAGCTAGAGCACAGTGGCGTCATCATAGCTCACTGCAACCTCAAACTCCTGGGCTCAAACGTATTAATATTTTTTAAAAGTAAATGTAACCACAGTTTCACCTTTGCTAATCAACTTGCATGCCAGTTCTCTGACCAGCCCGCCCTCTCTAGTCTCTAGTAAAGCTTCCTGAAATTTGAAATTGGAGAATGTTGGAAGTGGAGGGTCATTAGGCATGTCTAGTCCAAACTCTTTGTTTGTTTGTTTGTTTGTTTGTTTGTTTGAGACAGAGTCTCATTCTGTTTCCCGGGCTAGAGTGCAGTGGCATCAGCCTAGCTCACAGCCACCCCAAACTCCTGGGCTCAAGCAATCCTCCTGCCTCAGCCTCCCGAGTAGCTGGGACTACAGGCATGCGCCACCATGCCCAGCTAATTTTTTTTCCTATATATTTTTAGTTGGCCAATTAATTTCTTTCTAGTTTTAGTAAAGACAGGGTCTCACTCTTGTTCAGGCTGGTTTCGAACTCCTGACATTGAGCGATCCTCCTGCCTTGGCTTCCCAGAGTGCTAGAATTACAGTCATGAGCCACCGCGCCCAGCCCAAACTCTTTGTTTACAGATCAGTAAATTGAGACCCAAAGATGATAAGTGACTTCACCCATGTGACAGAGGCCAATAATGGCAAGGCCAGCACTAGTACCCACAGTTCCATGCTCCACTTCAGCCCTCTCCTCACTCTTAAAGACTGTGTTAGGAAAGGCCCTCGGGTGATGTACTGGATGATGCAGGACTGTGACCAGTTCCCCACAACTATAACCTACATTCTCCTCTGCAGATGGGCAGAGCCTCCTATCCCCACCTCCCAGGAATGGCTGGCTCAAGGACAGGAAGCAGGTCCCATATTAAAAGAAGGTTGGCACTGTCTAGGGAAAGTACTCATGAAGCTGGTGCTTTAGATCCCACGCAAGCCAGACTTGCCTTTATTCTAGTTTCAAGCAAAGCTATTAGAAGACGAGCAGAAGTATGGGCTGTGGTCCCACCAACTAGAGCAAGCCAGGATGCCCGGTGGACCCTAGTGCGTTCCTTCCAGAAGAGACTCTTACCGTCCAGCCATGGATCACTACAAAGGTTTTGCTGCTGTGGTTGAAGTGACAGTTGCCCACAGATTCTGCTACTCCGGGAATGAGGTGGCAAGTGTCCTCAGCTGTGTCTTCAGGGGTCCTTAGGGCAAATTTACTTTCAATGTCTATAAAATCTCTTCTTCCTACAATTCAGAAAAAATGGAATAGGATGTTAACTGGAGGGTTGTTCATTTTTATTTGTTGGAATGGTACATTTTAGGGTTGCAGGCAACCACCATTGATGCTATTTGTTTCTGTTTTTTTAAAGACGAATATGTATGGCAAGAAAATGGATGCTTCAGTGGTGATCAAAGTTGATAGAGAGACTTATTTTGTGTATTATTTCACCCTCTTAAAATTTCTGATTACATAAAAATAATTTTTCCTTATAATATTATACAATTAGGCTTATTCGAAGGAAGGGTTTTTTTCTTCTTCATTAGCATAATTTAAAAAAATATTAGCAGTAAGAAAAGTTGGAAGCACAAGGAAGATTTTGTATGAAATTGTTCCCACCAATTCAAAATGTTTTAAGAAATCATTTAATGGGTGGTTCAGAAATACCTGGACTAGGTATGAGCTGTAGTTAATTCTTTCCCCAAATATTTCTTTTTCTATTTATGCCATTACAATTTTACATACAAAGTCAAAACTCAAAAACTATAGCAAAGGTGGTTGTAGAAAGGGTGCATTTAGGTTATTCCTAGTCAATCCCAAACTGGGCAAGGAAAGAAAGAGAGCCTAGCTCTTGAAACTATGGACAATAAATCTAAGTGTTGATAAATCTTCATGGGATATTTGTAGACAGTATATATCATAATACATTGAATACTAGAAGTAAATTCTGTTGTAAATAAAATCAGACCCTTTTTACAGAACAAAACACAGTCAAAGGGAAGTTATACTAGAAATCATTTTCCGGCCGGGTGCGGTGGCTCACGCCTGTAATCCTAGCACTCTGGGAGGCCGAGGCGGGCGGATTGCTCGAGGTCAGGAGTTCAAAACCAGCCTGAGCAAGACCCCGTCTCTACTAAAAATAGAAAGAAATTAATTGGACAACTAAAAATATGTATACAAAAAATTAGCCGGGCATGGTGGCACATGCCTGTAGTCCCAGCTACTTGGGAGGTTGAGACAGGAAGATCGCCTGAGCCCAGGAGTTTGAGGTTGCTGTGAGCTAGGCTGACACCATGGCACTCACTCTAGCCTGGGCAACAAAGTGAGACTCTGTCTCAAAAAAAAAAAAAAAAAAAAATCATTTTCCTTGTCAAGTAAAAAAAATAAAAAAAAAAAAAAAAAAAACCCTACTATTTATTAATACCATAAGAAAGCAATAATTTGTAAATTTTAGATTTTGCTATGCAAAACTTTCAGGAGATAAATAAATGAGGTTGCTAGGAATACTTCTAATTCCTTAATCTAAATGTTCTCTCTGTTCACAATTCAAAATCTGAAAATCTATCATTTCAAATAACACTGCAAAAGTCAGGCCAAGAATAAAAATAAGAATGACATATAATAGTGAAAGGGCAGGCATTTGAATCAGACTTGGCATATAATTATCTGAGGACTGGCCATGTTTTTCTTTTAATAATTATTTTCCAAAATTCCTTGAACAAGATCGTGGTTATTTGCCAAGTGATTCATTATATGGCAATCAGTTGTTCTCACACACCACACACACAAACGCTCAACCACCTAAAATGTAGGAGACAATTTCTTTATATTTATGAGAAAGAGGAAAGGTTTGTTACAAAAGCTAAAGACTCTAAGATCATTTATTCAAATAAGAGTCTATGCTAAACTATTCATCTTTAAAGCTCCTTTCATTTCCATATAGGAAAACTATACTTGAATCCATCCATCTACCAAGAATACCCTCTACCTCTCATCTTATTTGAAGATGTTGGTCCTCCTTCCTTTTTCCTAACCAGAAAGCACTCTGGTAGCTTTATTATTTACCTGATAGAGGAAAAAGAATATTGAATATTTTTAATTTAATTCTCCTTTCAGTGCCTAAGAAAGAACTTGACTGTTAGAAAGTGCTTTAGAAAATTTTAAACTAAATTAATTTCACCCTCTCCCACGTCTTTCTACCTCAAATAGCTCATACCTCCTCTCCAACAATCTTATTTTAACACGTTCGATTATCAATCTTTCTAAAGCAGAGATCACCTGAACAATCTAACAGATAAATCTCCCTTATCGACTATTTGCCAAATTGATATTTAAGACTATTTATTTGTACAACTCCAGAGGCTTTTACTTTTAGTCTATTTTTCCCTCGAATTATGCAATTTAGTGGTTCTGGTATTGGTGGTGGTTTTTAAATAACCTACAATATTCTTTGAAATAACTAAGACAGGCTTTGTATAATTCCATGAAAAAAAAAAGTCTATTCAATCTGTAGATCCTGTATCAGATTATACGTATGGTTTCCTGACAGCTTGAATTTCCCACAACCCATATTTCTTTTGGGTTCATAGCTTAGAAAGAACAATAATAGGGAATTCATATATTCTCAAGCAAACTTGTATGTGGAGACTTTCATTTCACTTTTAAAGGAAATGATTTTTCATTTTAAGTTTGACAGGAAAATAGTGCCATTCTATGTGCTATGTGATGGTTTTAATTCTACATCAGGTATGAAATCATAAATCTTATTGGCGCTTAGGTAATCTTTCCTTCTCTTTGTGTTCTTATAAGAATTTTCACAATATCTATATTTGCAACCCCTCAAGGATGTCCCAGCATCCTAATGATGAATAATGTTTCCCAAACTTCTATCAGCCCTGGAGCAACCAGCTTAGACCAAGTAGAGAAAGATGGCCGCTGTGTCAGTCAGTATGTGTGGTTGTCCCAATGCACCCTGGGATTGCTTCTAGGTGGCAGACGAACAGATGTGACTGTTACTAGGGAAGCTATTGTTTCCCATACATGGAACTGGTATTAGTGACTCTGGATTTATCTAACTAGACCGTCTTTTATCATATCCCTTAGAAATTAAGGACAGCTTAGAATTGAGAGAGAGATAGAAAGAGAGGAAGGAAAGAAGGAAGAAAGAAAGAAAGAAAGAAAGAAAGAAAGAAAGAAAGAAAGAAAGAAAGAAAGAAAGGAAGGAAGGAAGGAAGGGCCTTCATCCTGAATTTGACTTAGCACATCAGTACCACCTGCCAACCAGTCCCCAGCAGAAAAGTCCTTATTAAGCACTAAGGGGAGATCTGGGGTACCAGCCAAGTTACAGGTTAACATGTTTCCTATATAATCTTTATCCCTAAATTCTTAAATAGATAGCTAAAAATCTGAGTGTGTAAACAAAGACAAAGAATTTATGTTAACATGGGTAATAACTCACAGAGATGAAATTAAGCAGAGAAGTTAAAGCACTTAGAGAAAGGTAAATTTATAGAGGGGATATTATTATTAATTAAAAAAAGGAGAAGCATTGAGCATCCTAAAAAAAAGCAACAGGTGATACTCTAAAGGCCTATCAGAGCTAGCTATCAGATGAATAAGATTAACTTTCATATGACGACATGAGTTAGGAGAGCTCAATTGCAATGCAATTCTCTTTGGAATTTCTACTTCTAATCTCTCTCTCTCAACACACACACACACACACACACACACACACACACACACACACACATACCCCCTAAGGATTTTATCAGAAATTCATTTGCTCTGTGAGACTGATGGTCACAGTTATTGACTCAGGCAGGGCCCTCAGGATGTCCAAAACCAAGTTGAATTACTGAATTGGTCAGTTTGGCGAGGGAAAACATCAATATCATTACCTGACTGAATTGATTGATCTGTTCAGATATTCCAATGCAGACAATGTATAGGAAAAAAAAATATTTGTTTTAGTGAGTACTAAAAACAAGTTCTGTACTTACCACCTGAATTTTACATTGAATTTTCTCCACTATTAGGACTGAACATCCACACTACTAGAAAGAAGGGTTTAAAAATAGGCTTGGAGATAAATGTAAAATAAATGGGCCAGTTGAATTAGACTGAGCATGAACAAATGTAAGCCATCGTTACTCAAAGGGATCTTGTGCATTGGTTAATGAAATATTTTGGTTGAAGGTCACTATGTACACATATTTAAATCATGATTTTTTTAAAAAATTGAAATATGAAACTCTTGTATTGCTCATTGAAATTACTTTCTTACTGTCAATAGAAATGGGAAATGGAAACACCCAATTGTCTCAAATTAATACAATGGAAGCCAATGATTACCTTCCTTGATAACAATTGTTTTATTTATGTGAAGGCTGGATAAAGACTTGAACTCTATTTAAATTAAAATGTAGGTGCTAACTCTTACACTAGTTTTCACCAAAAGAATCTGACTTTTCATTGTATTTAAAGCATTTTTAAACTTATATATTAAGTTTAAATTATTGTGAATCAAAATAGCATTGTCCCTACTTGTCTGCATAGAAACAGACTTCATCATCCAAGAAAAACACATAGATGAACACACACCCCAAAGAGTTGTGTGCCATGAACATGGTGGCTGGATTAGACTGAGTGACCATGCCAATTGAGTCATCTTTGTTGTATTCTACTGCCAATTAGCAGTGGGGACATTTTCTTGTATTCATTCAAAAAGTCAAAATCACCAAACTACTTAAGATAGCATTTGATCATTCTGAAAGAACAGACTGGGAAGAGCAAAAAGAATAAGTTGGCACAAGTTAAGGCTCATTTTTAGTTATATTACACACACACACACACACACACATATGTAAAACCACCTAAGATAATCCATTCCTTCCTTCCTAATAGATATTTATTTCCTCCATTAGTATGGACTAACATTTGTTGAGTATCCAAACTATGTCACTGCAAACAGACATTCTTAAAATAGCCACAAGACAGCAATATGCAGTCATATAGTCCAACGCGCACTGTTCACAATAAAATTTACTCTTAGTCTCTGAGTAAGCTGGAATCCTATATTTCTCCTTCAGAAGCTAACAGAGCCTTCAACTTTTGCAAAGAGAGAATGTGACAAAAACTACTTGTGACAAAGATTTACTCTCAGCTTAAAAAGTCTCTGTTGATTAAAAAAAAACATTTAGTTCACTGGGGTGAAAAACTATATTTAGTGGAATACAACTATCCCTAAAAAGTTGTTGTTGCCATGAAAGTTAGAAAATACAATATGAGTCAATTCAACTGGTATCTCCATTCAGACTTCAAATATAATGATACTCATGTCTTGAAAACTTTCCTTGTACTTTGTGATCCTAAGTCATCATCAACCATCATTTCGATGGCTAGAACAACTTCACACGGCAGGCAATGCAACCTTTGTGGTAAAAATGTGGGAAGAGGAAGCCATCAGAGAGAAGAAACTAACAGTAAAATGTTACAAGTTTCAAGGCACTTTCTTGAACAATCTGACATAGTCTGACAGTTTGGCAGTAAACTATATAGCCCAATTTCTCCTCCATAAAAAGCAAGAATAGAAGGTTGAGCTAAAAATATGCTGCAAAAAAAATTAAAATTTTCCATCGCAATTCTTCCCCTGTACCCGACTCCCACCTTTCGATACAGCTATTAATCAATCACTGCCTCGCTGAGCTGTTCTCCAACGACATCTGCTATTTTGCTCTCATCTCCCATCACGTTTAACCCAGATGGTTCATCTGGAAATTCACCATAGCCAGTCAACTAGAACTGCAGCTGCTGAGCACTGACCCACGTGCTCCCTCTCCCAGCTCTTCCGGTTTCCTAATTGGGGCCACCGCAGAGATGCCAGTGGCTCCCAGGACACAGAGCCTGAGGGCAGTGACTCTTATCCTCATATTCTTCTTAGAAAGAATCAAGTGTGAATAAGTAAAGTCAGAGCCCAGAGGAGGTGTTGGATGTCATTCTCCCATAGCCGCCACTTTCTGACCCTGGAATTCTCACATGCCTCCATGAACTGCATCTGGAGGAGAGAGGGGCAGAAAGTCGCTGTGATGGGACAGGCATGAGAGGGACAGAGTTGAGTGGAAGTGGAGGGAATGAGTGGGAGCCATTTCCAGTCTGCTTAGAAATAACCCTTCCTTAATACATTTACAGCCAGGAAAGGCATGTGTTGGTTAAAATCCAATTAAATTAATTAAGCACCTGAGTACCCATTTCAATCAAAGAGTTAAGAATTAGAGGGGCCTCAAGAGACCTTTCAGTCTCACCAAAGTCCTCGTTTTAGAGTTGAGGACACTAAGCCCAGACAAATGACACTGTCTCGCCCCACAACATAGGATTCTGAACCTCTAAATTAGCCTAGCAAATATTTAAAAAGTGTGTGACACATTTCTGTGCGCGCTGGATGGTGAAATTTTATTCTTCGGTGTGCTTTCTGAAATAAGGATTAGGAGTTGCTCCTACCATGCTCTTGGCCGGTGTTACACACTGTGGAGGGGAACACACAACACAGAAGATGTTCAAGGCTTTCTCACTGACTCTCCCGTGTTCTCAAACTGATCTGATAGGAAAGATACTTGTCTTTTTATCCAGTTCTGCTTTGATGGAACCTACCCTTTCTTTTGTAACCTAACAAAAATGGTCTTTGACGAATTAATGCCGAAATAAAACAAACGTCCAGCCGCGATCGAAGCCCTGGCGCACGGGCTGGAGAGAGCACATGTGAGCGACGCCGCCCTGACTGCAACTCCACCACGGAAGCGAAAAGGGAACGCTGCCTCCGCTTGGGACTCGCTTCAGTTGCTGTTTAATTTGCTGTCATAGGAAACTGACCCAGGGTTCAAGTTACGCAGGCTGCCTCTATAGCGGGCAGGGCTGGGCTGTCACGTTCCCTGCAATAAAGAAATTCGAATCTGGCCCCCACGCCTGGCCCCGGACCAGAGGGCGGCGCCCTGGTGGTGACCATGGTTCTGCCCGCAGCCACCGCTGGGCTGGCCAAGTGCAGACCTGGCAACCCCCAAGTGGGCAGCCACGTTTTCTGGAGGGTCAGCCCTTCGTGGCTCTGTGGGCACCAAGAGGGGCGTGCAAGCCTGGAAGCTGGAGAGTGTCCCAGGCACGGAACGCGCGCAGGTCGCTGCGTCCCTGGGACTCCGCGCCACGCGTCCCCCTGTATCCCCACCCCACTGCCACTCCCACGGCGGGGTAAGGGGGTCAGCCGAGGGCGAGAGTGCCTGGTGCGGCCGAGATGCCAGCAACGCCTTCCCGCGCCCCGCCCGTTCCCCTAGAAGGGGCCACTGTGTGCCGGCGCGTCCACAGGCGGGGGCTGAGCCGGCCCGGGCCAAGCTGGGGTCACCTTGGCCCGCGTGCCTTTCATTCCAGGGCACCCCCCAGCTGGGAGGTCACTGCTGATCACCGCCAGCCGGACCCTTGCTCCCGCCTCCTTCGTCTAGCCCCTCACACCCCCGATCCTCCCCGGCGGGGTCCGAGCGCCCCGGAACGCGGCCGCAGCCAGAGAGGAAGGGACAGCGCGGGAACCCAGGGCGGGAACCAGGCGCCGACCCAGCAAGATCGGAGGGAGATTCCCTCCCTGCCCCTCGTGGATCGCACTAGGGTGACTCATCTCGGGGCCGTGCTCGGGCTGGAGGGGCCCCCGCTGCGCACTGCATCCCTTTCCAATTTCCTCGCTCCCATCCGCAGGACGGTGGCAGCGGCCACGGCCGCGTGTGCAGGTGGAGGGGAGTTTGCGCGCAAAACTTACGGTCGTCGGCGGCCACCCCTCCTCGGGAGGCGGTCAGACTCTGGAGCCACACACCTACGGCCACCAGGAACAGGGCTTTGCTCATCTTGGGGCGCGTCTCTCTGCAGAAGCTGCCAGGTGCGGACCGACCGATGGACCCGCGGAGCCGAAGCAGCCAGAGGGAGGGCCGGAGCCGCGGGGCGCCGCAGGGCAAGTCGCGCTTTAAACCGGAGGGCAGGGCGGCTAGAAGTGGCAGTTTTCCTCGGAGGAGGAGGAGGGGGAGGAGGAGGAGTAAGAATCGAGTCTGACACTGTTTCCACTCCGCGGCTTCTTATGTGACTGGAAATATGCAAATAAATCTCATCACCTATTGGCTATAAAATCATAAGTTGGAGGGAGGGCCCTAAATTCACTCCCAAACATTTGAGCAAACAGTAGAGAGAAGAGGGGGAAAGGGCAGAAGGGAGAATTTGCTTTCTGCTTGGCTCCTGTTTGCTTAGCCTGAAGGGATCTACTCCCCAGGGTCCCCCCCCCCCATGAGCACCAAACACAGGTTTATATTGATTTATGTTAAATACTCAACTTATATCGATTCATGTTAAATAATCACCAGTTTTACAAGGAGGGAAAGTGTAGCTGTTAAACTACATTTGGTCAGTACTCTAATCCACTTCTTTTTGTTAACTTGCAGTGCTCCCCAAATCAATCTAGGGGTACAAGAACACACGTTGCTCCCTACTTTGTGCTTAAGGCAATCGAGTATTTGAACATCAACAAGCGCACTAGCTTCCGCGGTGGAGAAAAGGCCCACTTGCTCTAACTAGTTTCTAATTTTTGCCTCGTGCAAATTATACTCAATCCTCAAACTCACTAAGGAATGCAAGAGTCACATTTGATCTTCAGAGGCAAGACATGGAGGTCAGATAATTTAAAAGTGCATTGAGTTATGATGAGTGAAAGGAAGACAGTCACAAAAGACACTTATTGTATGATTCCGTTTAAAATGTCCACAAATAGGCAAGTCTATAGAGACAGAAAGTAGATCAGCAGTTGCCTGGGGCTGAGGATAGGGGAGGGAAAGAATAGGGAGATTTGGGGAAGGGGTGATGAAAATGTTCTAAAATGATGTTATGATATTTCACAACTCTGTAAATATACTAAAAACCATTGAATTGTACACTTTCAATGATTGAACTATATGGTATGTGAGTTATATCGCAATAAAGCTATTTTTTAAAGTGTATTGAAGCATGCAAGTAAAATAAGAAAAATAAAGTGACATTGGATACCGTGCCTTTCTGCCAAAATGCTCAGAATATTTTCAAATATCTTTTGAAATGTAAAGGATTTATATTAGCCAGGAAGGGCAAGGAACTCTATACTCCCCACTTTATTACTGAGAAACTGGCTCATAGAATCTCTGATCCACTATCTTTACTGATCTGAATATTTTTAATGTCTCCCTCTGCTCATCACTCCCTCCATCGCACACACATACCTACATTTGTAGGTTAGAAGGATGAAAGGCTTTTTAAAAACTAGGCTTACTTTTTAAGGTTTTCTCAAAAAATAAAAGCTGATAATACCCAAATAGTTCAAAGTTTGCCATTCTGCAAAATAGGATCCTATCTTTAAGTTGATACATTCAATGCCACAATAGTTTTGTATAGCAATTATTAAAGAACATATTGTGCACATTTATTCTATCCTATAAAGCAGTGATCCCCAACCTTTTTGGCACCAGGACTGGTTTCATGGAAGACAATTTTTCCAGAGTGGAATGGGTGGGGGAATGGGGGCAGAGCTCTTTAGCGCCATCCCCAACAGACCGTGTGGAGGGATGGGGGGTTGGGGACCCCAGCTATAAAGCATGTGGAGAATTTTAAAACCTGCCAAAAATTAAACCCCATAAAAGAACTGGCAGAAATGGCAGAACATACCATGCCACTATGATGAATAACTATGATATGGCAGTCCTCCAAAAATCCTGTAGTAAACTCTAATTTTAAAAAACTAATTAAAAAAAATTTTTTTAAAAAAACTCTAATTTTAAAAAAACTACACAAGATGAGTGCAATTGCACCGGATGCCCTCACGGTATAAATGACATACAAGCAGAAGTGAAGAAATGCCTACTGTCTCATATAGGATATTCATGCAGCCTATTTTCATGCATAAAAATGTCATTTGATAACACAACCGAACCCAACTGCACTTCTGTGCCTTTCAGAGAACTGCAAGAAAATGTTCTATAACTGCGAAGGAGAAGTGCGTTTATAACGTATTTTTAAAACGACTGCCCAGGTTAACAGATAACAAAATCAAAGCACTCAGGAGTTAAGAGTATATATTTCCTTAAAGAATGAAACCGGTTTTGGAGTGTCCTGTGCTGTTACGCTGCACGTCCATTAGAGATGCAGAGATTTCCAGAAAGACAGCTCGGCAGCTTGGCCTGGCAGAAAGCAGGCAGGCTGGCTCTTGTCCCAGGGCCAGCGGCGAGCAGGTGGGTGTGCCAGCAACGCTCTCTCCTGATTGGCTGTGCAGGGAGTGGTCACGTGCCTTCCTTCTCACGCAGAGACCCACGTGATCTCTGGGTCAGGACTGCGTGTGCAATTAGCGAGGCTGCTCGTCCAGGCTTGAGCAAGGTTGGTTGGCCTCTTGAGGCTTGGCTTTTCCCATTACTGGCATTTCCTTGGTATTAGACTGGAAAAGCTTTAGGTTAAAAAGAAGCTAAGCATTTTATAAACGTTTAACAAAATAGTACCCTTATAGCAGGACGCTTGTGCCTGGTAGACGTTAGAAACGATGTTAAGTGAAAAGTTCAGTGTGCACACCTAAGGAAACGACCAGAAATTCCAGGTGTAGGGAAGCATCTATCTAGCTTGTTATCAGCTCCCTTACTTTGATTTAGGGCCTGCGATTGACACACCCTGGACACTTTTCCTGCATTTAATCATTATAAAAGTACCCTGAACTGAATAATAGTCGCTTTCTACACATAAGTGAAGATGAAACTCAAGGAAGATTAACGGTAACCACGAGTCACAAAATGTTTGTGGGGTGTTTTTTGGCGATCCCAGCAGAGAAGGAAAATGTATTTAATGTGTTATATTTTAATGTTGCTGTACTTGCAAACTGAAAAAGGCTGGGAAGCAGATTTTTTTTTGGTACATTCATATTTTAGTGCAGATTTCATTTTGTGGCTTCCTTGCTAAACTAAAATATGATAAAATGTCTTAAGTGGGCTCTAAAGAATATCAGTACTGAGATGGATCTGGTCTCTACCACAAAAATTATATTTAATGTAAAAAAATGGCGAATACAAATAGAATTGTACAAATTGACAAATACAGAATCATACATGTTAAAAAATATTTTAAAATCTATTGCCCTCTTAAATAAGAAAAGGCCAAACCAAGGTGTTTACTAAAAATTGTCATAAAGGGCTTTTTCACCACTACTCAGCCACATCGTAGCGTTAAATTGTAGCACAATCTGGATCTGAACTGACATGATGACTTGTGGGTAAAGGTGAAAATGGGGTTGACATCAACAGCTCTGGGATCTGGGGGGATTGAGGGGTGTGGGGAGAATTGCTTCACATCATAAAAGTATGGTGTAAAATAATCCAGACACATTTTAAGGATTTTTGTTTTCTTGAGTTGGGAATATTCATATCCTTCCCCTTCCAAAAACAATAGAAAATAAAACAAAACAAGAAGAACAAAGAGGAAGAAAGAAATCATATTTTATTATCAGCATTAAAAGATGTGTCTGGCTAAATTAAGAAGAGAAATAAAAGATAATTTTTCAAAAGAGAGAATAGGAAAAAAAAAATAAAAGCTATTGCATTGCAATGTTACATCCAGAATGAGGCTTTATGGTGAGGAGAAAGGACAGAACACAGCAGCCAGTTGCTGTCACCAAAGAACTGTGGATGGATGCAGGCCTTTCCTAGAAGACAGCTTGTAAAAACTAAAAAGAATGCCCCACAAATAACTCACTGGATTTATAATGTTTATTTATAAGTGGTTTCCCCCCTTTTCCAAAAAACAAAACTTAAGTCCATGTAGAAGATAAAAGGAGACATTTTATGAGATCTCGTTAATGATTTGAATATGCAAGATCATGAATGTTTTTTGCCAGTGGTTTCCCATTCAGAAATAACTTCAAACCCAACATCAAAGCCCAGGTCTGAAAAATGAGCGAAGCCCTACTCAGTGGAAGATATGTTGTAGGTGCCCCCTGCTGACTTCCTGGTGATACTGTAACATCTCAGAGAAAAGCCCTTTTAAGAGACTTGACACAGAATTGACTTGATTATTAGACTCTTGCGTTGTTATCTGAGCTTCCCTGTTTCTTTTGTCAGGTGCTAAGTAGGTATTGCTCTTTCCACCTCTGAGTGTTTTCCCCCAGTATTGAATGGTGCTGGAAAGTTAGAAAGTTCTTAGTCAATAAGTGTTGGGTGAATTTATAACAATAAGTAATAGATGATCCAGTATGAAGTGGGGAGAAGGCAGGATTCTTTTTTATTTTAAATTTTCATTAGACTTATTAATTATGAAACTTCACGCACACACAAACACACCCCTTGCCATAATCAAGTCTAGGTAGGCCAAATCTGGGTTAGAAGAATAGAAGTCAACTTCATTTGATTGGAACTTATTGCTGGCTTCATCTCTTCCTCTTCTTTCTTTTAGTTAACTCTTTAGTTTAAAAAGTAACACATTGTTGACCAAAAACACTAAAAACAAAAATTTCAAGTAATACAACAGAAAGTGCCTCCTTCTCCGTGAAATTTCCCAGATTTCCCTCTGAGAGTTTGTCACCACCTCCTGTATTGCAAGGGGTGTCCATTCCTTGACTGTTGTACTTACAATGGGTGTTATTTACTGTCTACTGCATGAATTTTTGACCTGTTCCAAGTTGGGGGTGAAATCTCACTCATTGTCTCTGTAACCTTCTCACCAAACATGCAGCTGGGTACCAGAGTAGGTGCTCAAACATTTATGTGAACAAACGATTGAATAAAGGAAAGAAGTAAAAGTTTGAAGGGTGAAAATCAATATATGCCACGAGGTATTTAATTTCTCTTAAAACTCATTTTCTAGTTTCCTTGGCAAAATAGAGCCAAATAAAAGAGCCAGAATTAAATGGATAGATTGAACTCTTTGAGTCTTCAAGAAGTTTATGTATGAATGAACGTGCAATATGATTCTGTTTATGAATGAAATAAATGCAAGAAGCTAGAACCAAAAGAGAGGACCCACACGGAGCTTACCTTGTCACTACATTGTCATAAACAATTGTGATTATACAGTAGTACTTTTTACTTTCATCATGTGACTTAAATGTGTTATAACAACTGATAAAATCTCATAGGTGACTTTTTTTCTCCTCCATGAATTGATATTTTAGCCTAGAACTCATTGTCATTTTATAAATTTTTGTGAATTTATTTTGTCATCACTGGTAAAGTTAGAGTTCTATTTTATCAAAAAATTATATTTATATTGTTCAGTGCCAATTCCAATATCTTTCACTCCAGATATTTAAATTGTCTAAGAATAATACAATGTGTCACATAGAAACAGCCTTCACAAGCTGTGAAGACAAAGACATTAGACTCAGAATTGAAAATTTGCCTGGGCCTGGCCTTGATTTTCAAACAGCTGCCCAGGAAAATTAGCACACAAATTATAATATGTTCAGAATTTTGTCTGAAACCTCTACTCTCTGACTTCACACTTCAGTCGCCACGCTTCCTTTTAGCACACAGGGATTTGATCAACCTGTGTCCAAAATGCTAACACAGCCATCACAAGCCTACTGCACATCCACTACCCAAGATATACTCTTTGGATCATTTCACGATTCAGAAGGTTAAGTCAGTTGACTTATTACTTAATAGCAATGTAAGAGGGGCAGAAATCCGCCAGGACCTTGAGCCTACATAATTAAGGGCCTTCTCTTGAGGCCTTGAACCCAATTTGTCTGCTGGACTGGCCAGGAGAAAATAGGCAGTCTTATCAGCTCTCCCTTGC